GTGGATGCCCTGACCAAACTTCGTCCCTCCTTCCCAGCCTGCCCAGCGGCATGGTGGATGCCCTGACCAAACCTCCCTGCCTCACTTCCCGCCTGGTTGACCCCATGATGGACCCCATGAATCACTTCGTCTGCCTCCTTCCCAACCTGTCCGGCAGCGTTGTTGACCCCATGGGCAAACTTCTCTGCTTCCTTTCCTGCTTGTCCGACGCCACTGTTGAGCCCATGGGCTACCTTGTCGAAGCCGTGGTTGAGCCCCTGGATGCCCTTGTCCAGCTCCTTGCCGGCTTGGTTTCCCATGCTGCTAAGTCCATTAAAAACTTTCTCCACTTCCCTTCCAGCTTGAGTGATTCCATTATTGATGCCTTCCAGGGCCTTGCCCACCTCTCTCTCTGCATTGCTCAGCCCTCGGTTGATCCCTTCAATGACCTTCTCAATGGGGTCATCCTTGACCGCCCATCCAGGCAGGGCTCCCAACAGCAGCAGGAGGGAGCAGGAGCTGACCACGCTGGCAAGATGCATATTGTTGGGGAAGTGGGGAGGGTGCAGAGAGGAGCCAGGGAGGCAAAGCTGCTATTTATCCTATGCCTGCCTTCCTCTTCTCCACCCCTCATGACTCAGTTACCACTGGGAGGCACTGACTTGATCCCCAGTCAGGGAGGTATTTCCCAGGGAGATTTGGGGTTGAGCAATGAAGAGGAGGAGGAGGAAGAGAGGGTGAGTCATGAATGGAGAAGACTCACGTGGCATCTTTGCTCCTTATCAGGCTCAGGCCCTCCACCCCAGAGCCCAGATGTCTTCCCTTCCAACCACCTCCTCTTTTCATTCCTCACCCACTCTTTAGGCCTCCTCTCTCCCAATTCCACCCCACCTTCAATCACCCTTCGTCCCTGGGACCCAGGCCTGGTTCTTCAGGATCCTCATGCCTCCCAGGATTCAGCTTCCCCAGCAGTAAGAGACTGGAAAGATGGGAGGCACAGTCAGAGGGAGGAGAGCACCCCTGGGGAGTTGAGGGAGTCGCCACGCCTTGATCTTTTTTACCCCAGACCTTATTCTTTTCATTCTTGTTGACCGCCCCCCCCCCCGCATTTACTGTGCTCCAGCCACACAGGTCTCCTTCCTGGTCTTCAAACATACCCAGCTCATTCATGGCCTCATGGCCTTTTCACTTGCTGTTCTCTCTGCCTGGAATGTAGAATGCAGATCTTCACAAGGTGGGTTCCCCCTCATTTTCTTCTTGGTTCAAATATCACCTTCTAAAACAAAAACAAAAAAAACAAAAACAAAAACAAAAACAAAAACCCTTCCCTGGCCATCCACCATATATACTCTGTAATACCATCCTTCAGTTTTTATAGCTCTTACCACAATCCCAAATTATCTTCTTTTACTGTCTGTCTCATCTATCAGATTATAAACTTTCAGAGGATGGGGCCTTAGTCTGTGTTGGTCACTGCTATATCCTCCGCTTCTAGAATATTGCCTGGGGTTCAGGAAATATTTCTAGGATGAACAAATGGATGGATCAGAAGCCAGGGGAAGACAATTCAGGCCTGAGCCTGAGTCTAAAGGGGGCTGGAGGGAAGGTCACCTGGATCCCCAGAGTAGCATAGGGTCCCATGGTGAAGGGTACAGATTTTGGAGCCAGGATCACATTCTCATCCTGCCTCCCAGCCCTGGGGCAAGGGCAGGGGGCCGACTGCCATGAGCTGGGACAGGACGCAGTGTCTCCTGAAAAGCCGGTTGAGGCAGCCACGGGGAGGGGCCGAAGACTCGGGGTGGCAGGAGACTGTCAGCCAGAACCTGGGCTGAGGGCCAGGAGCTCATCCTTCCTGCCCTCCTCCCCACTGAGGCCTCCTAAGTCCCAACCTGAAGCCTCAACTGGCTGACATATTGGCAGGGGCTGGAGAGAGAAACAGCTGAGGGTTTGGCCTCGGTGTGGAGAGGGGCTGCAGAGGGACGCGCAGAGGGTGGGAGGGCGGTCTGCTGCAACCAAACTATCTAGAGCTAGTTTGGAGGGAGGCTGAGACCAGAAGGATGAGGGCCAGTGTGTGGGTACAGTTGGGTGCAGGGGTGAAAGATACTGGGGTTTTGGTGCCAAGAGGAAAGACTGGGAGAGGGGGTGGAGGTGGGACTGCTGGTGGGAAGGCCAGGTAGAAGGAATGTGCAGGGTGTGAGTGAGTGGGGTGGCAGAGCTATGTGTGTGGGTGCCCAGGTGGGGCAGGAATCTGCACGTGTTTTCAGGCTTTGCTCAAACAAGGGCGACAAGGCCCATTCCCCTTGGAGGACCCAGGGTTCCACCCTAGACCCTGGTTCCACCCAGAATCAGGCATCCCGGACCCAGAGAACCAAGGACCTTTTGCCTTCTCTAGGCTCTGCCTGCAGAGGGTGACTAATTGTGTCACCTCTCCAAGCTTGTTTCCCAGTTTCATGCTCCAGTGACAAAGCCAAATCCCTGGGCAACCTCAGCGGTGGCTTTTGTGCCCCTGTCCAGCACCTGAATGAGGGAGTTCCCTGTGCCAGGAGGTTGCTGGGTGGAGAAGGGTGAGTGGTGAGCTTCAGAATTCTAATCTGCACCAAGATTGAGAGGTGGGGTTTCTCCTCTGGAAATGTCCTCTGCTTCTCTCTCCCACCCATCTCTCTGCCCCATCCTACCATCCTCTGTCAGCCTCAGTCCCTCTCCTCAGTGCTTCACTCCCATTTGCCGTGATTTGATTTAGGATTTTGGCATCTATCCCCATACACGAGATGAATCTGGAGTTGTCCTTTCCTTGCCATCCTCTGCTGGTTTTGGTCATGTGGCGGTGCAGGTTTCCTCAGTACGTCAAGGCGGTTTCCACTACTGATTTATCACAGGTCCCCAGAGCACTCCCAAGAAGCATGCCACGTGTGTACACACAGTGTGCCTGTCACCTTGCAGGGCCTCAGAGCGAGTGCCTGACCCAGAGTCACTCTTCACAGGAGCTGCCACTGGGTTTCCCAGCTCTGGTCAGGATCTGCAACAGTTCCTACAGGATGGCAAATATTTGTTCCCCATGCTTCAGCAGATCTTGCCCATAAAATCGTCCAGATCTGAATCAGCCTTTGGAAGGACAGATCTTAAATCTGTTTCTTCTCTTGTTATTGGCCTACTCAGATTTGCCACTTCTTTTTGCACCAGTTTTGATGCTTCAGATTTTCTACAAAAATTTTGATTGCATCTATCTTTTCATACCAATGATTGTAAAGTTGTACCAAATCGGTCCCTTTGCAGTCCTGGTTTTATTTGTGCACTGTTTCCCCGCACCTTGATTATACGTGTTAGGTTTGTCCCTCTTTGTTTACTTAGTATCTGGTTTTTGGTCTTGGTTCATTCCAATCTCCCCATCTGTACGCTCAACCTCTTTTCTGTTCCACCTCACCCGGGCCATGCGAGCAGGAGGGCCTCACGCTTATCCGTGCCAGGGGCTTAGCAAACTGAGTGCCCATGGAGGTTTGGGGAAGGAAGAGGTTGTCATTCTGCCCATTCTTGCTTCCACACCTCTCTCTGGGATGATGACTCCTTCTTGGCCCAAATCCCCACACCCCCTAAATCTTGGTCACAGTTGTGTGTCAACTGGCGCTGCAAGTGAAGGTGACTTCTTGTGAGTCACAGGTGTGCACGCAAGCCCCCACCCCGGTGCCTTGGTGAAAGAGAGCCACCTGCCCATCTGTTCTTTCCCAAATGTTCATGGAAAGCCTGCTTGGTGTCAGACACAGTTCAAGGGGCTGGAGGCCCAATGACGAACTAAATGGAAAAGACAGCTCAAAAGGGAGACACTGAACAAGTAAACCAAGATCACGGCAAACTACCTGAAAAGCCATGAGGAAAAGAACAGGGTGCTGGGGGATATCAGACAGGACTTGACGGTTACTCTAAGACTAGAGATGAGAAGAAACCTCAGGAGGTGACATTTATTTACTTACTCTGGTAGTATTTATTGAGCAAACACCTTTTTAAGTGCCAAATATTCTTCTAGTCAACAGGATATAAAAGTGATGAATGCAGACAAGCACTCTGTCCTCCCAGAGCTTACAGTCTGATGGGCAGAGGCAATGGGCAAGAAAACAAATAAACAAGATGATTTTTAGAGAGAGAGATATGCTGTGAGGAAAATCAAAATATAGAGTGTAACCCTAGAGTAGTTTTGCACATTGAAACATCTAACCCAGGATGGGAAGTCAGATGAGGTTTCCTGGAAGATGGGTAGATGGAGGGAGTGGGGGTGATGGCAGAGAGTGACTGAGAGAGGAGAGAATTTTAAATGGGGAGTCCAGAGGGCCTCTCTTAAAGGGTGGCTCCTGAAGGAATGCAAGAGGCAGCCAAGGAAAGGCATTGGCAGGGCTTCCAGGCAAAAGGAAACAGCTAGGGTAACTCCTGAGGAGGGTGGAGAACAGCACGGGGCCAGTGTGCCTAAGGAGAGACAGAGACAGAGAAAGGGCTTTGAGGATCAGCATAAAAAGTTGGATTCCATTCCTGATACCAGTGGTCGCCTTGGAACGGTGGTGCACGGCATGCAGACGTCACACGCCTCGACTGGGACACGCCTTCGCACAGCCGCCTCTGTGACGTCACTGGGCACAGTGACGCCACAGCAAGAAATACCGGTCTTGCAGTAACATCGCGCCGGGTGCCGGGGCGGCTGGGCCATGAAATCTTAGGAAGCCATGTCGAAACGCGACATCGTCCTCACCAATGTCACCGTTGTCCAGCTACTGCGACAGCCATGCCCGGGTGAGGGAGGCGGCGGAGTGACCCCGGGGACGGTTAGAAGGGCGGTCGGGGAGCACCTGTCCCCAGATGCGCGCCCCGCCGGCGAGCGTGCGCACCAGTGGTGTCCTCCCGCCAGGAGCCGGGCAGGAGGCGTGGGGCGGGCAGCCGCCGGCCAGCCCGCCCGGACCCTTCCCCCTGGAGCCACTGCCCTCGCTCCCTCCTGCTCCACCCTCCCTACCACCCGGTTTGCTGGCATAATGTTCTCTATGGAATTGGTGGAGGGGACCGGGACCCCGCCCCCAGGGCGGGCTTTGCGAGGAAGGATAGAAGCCGGGGCGGGACGGAGATGGGAGCCAGGTTTACTAGGAGGCACCTCTGAGGACAGTCTCCGGGCGGTGAAGAACCTCGGGAGCGAGATTTCACATAAAATGCTGCTGCTGGGGAGCAGCGCGAATGGGTCGCTTGAGGGCTGGTAGACTTTGTCCTCTCTGGATTGCACACAGCGAGGACGCTTGCGCCCAGGGCCGCGCCGAGCTCTTTACAGGTATGCGTTCAATGAAACCTCGCAGGCCAGCGTTTAGTGTTCCCATTTTACAGAGCGGCCACCCGAGGTAAGAGGACACAAAGCATGTCCCTAGGTCTCAGCGCGGGAATAGTGGAGCTGGGACTCGGAGTCCCTGCTCTCAGCCATAGGGCAGCCCTGCCTCCCCCTGCCAGAGGTGCACACACACACTCCAGCCAGACAAACCCAAGCCTTCGGCGGCCTCAGTGGCGGCAGGCAGGCGAGGCAGGTGGGAAGTCTACGCACCGCAGGGGTGGGCGTGCTTGGGCTCGGTCAGGGCCCCAGAGTCCAGGAGGTTCCGGAAGCCGCAGCAGCAGGCAGGTTAACGGTTATGGGTCTTGAATCCCTTCCCTGTTCATCACTGGCTCAGTGGCCTCAGGCCTCGGTTTCCCCTCTGTAAAGTAGGTTTATAGGGCATGCCTCAGAGGATTCAGTGAGCTGATGCACGTGAAGAGCTCTCAGCACAGCACCTAGACAGTGGTGGCACCCAGGAAATAGGAGAATCACTATAATTGGTAGAGAGCACGCCTGCACCCGTGTTTCACCGACCAGGTGATGCTTCATCACTGAAGCTCCTCTGGGCCCTTCCTTCCCAAAGCAGCAGCTCTCCTCCAGCCCCCGTACCCTACCCTGGAGCAGAGGGGAGAAGGGAGGCTGGGGGAAGTCAAGAGAGGAGGACCACCTGAGTTTCCTTTTGAAAAGTCACTGATCCCCACTCTTAACCCATAGAGACAAATCTCCCCTTTTCATGATAGCAGAAACAGAACCCTGAGGAATACAAACATTCTTAAGGTCACCAGTAACCACAAGGTTGCTACCACCAATAAAAACTAATACTTTTATGAACCTATAGTGTCACTGGATACACTCACAGCCCAGCCTCAGGCCACAAGGCCTGTGGCAGCCTGGAGAGATCAGGGAAAGAGACAGGCCAGCTGACAACCAGCTCCTAACCCCATTCCCTCCCAGATGCCGATTCTGGTGCCAAACACGATTCCTACCTTCACCCTCCAGCCTCTCTCCAACCCTTCCCTCTCCCTTTCTTCAGGAATACTCCTAATGCTAGGCTTTCTCCCTTCTATTAAAATCAGCACCAACTGGGCCTTGAAATCTCACTGAGTCCTCACTGTAGCCCCCAGGTGGAGGGTTGGATGTGACACCAGGAAATAGGCCAGAGAGTTTCATTCACTTGCCCACAACCACACAGCTGGCAGGTGGCTGAGCTGGGGCAGACACCCAGGCCTGATCCCCAGCTTGAAACCCTCTGCCAGCAAGGCCCCCTGACTGCGGTCTCCACCACATCTCTCCTCCTCTCTTCAAGCCCTCATCTGTAGCCCAGGTAGCATAGCTTCAAGCACAGGTGGTTTTCAACGCAGGATGGAAGGGGAAGTGTGTGTCTGGAGAGGCAGAGGCTGATACGGGTTTCCATTTTTTTATGACAGACCTGCTCCCTACACTTTCTAAAGGTAAGAATCACCAGGAGTGCTTGTTAGAAACAGGATTCCTGGGCCTCAGTACAGACCCACTGAGCCAGATTCCCTAGAAAGAGGCCTCCCTGGTGATTCTTACCAGAACAGCTTGGGAACCACTAGGCTAGATCAATTATCAGACAAGTCCGGGAACTGATCTTTGAAATACTAATGTATATGGAATGTTTCCTAGACTCCATCATAAGATTACATATATTACCTCATCTAACCCTCACAGTGACCCTCTGGGAGCACTCCATTCCTCCATTTTACAGAGGAGGAAACTGAGGCACAGAGCAGTTGTTAAAATACATACCCAGTGAGTTGGGATCTCCAGGGAAGAGGCCCTGGCATTGATATTTTAAAGCAAGCCCACCCCCTGCTCATTCTATGGATCAGGTAGGTATAGGACACACTGGGCTAGATGGCTGGCCACTACATACATATATATGCGGAGGTACAAGCTCCAAGTTGGTTTTACAGTGAAAACTGCAGGAAATTCAAACCGGCACTTGGAAACAGACTGAGAAACCACAGTGTTTCTCCTGCAACCCGTTCCCTTTGTGCTAGATGAACGAATGTCTCTCCACTTGCTCAGTTCTGAGAGATAAGTGTGTGTGAAAGCCGTCCTTCACCTAGCTTGAAGGGAACACAAAGTTTCTTTCCAGTTGCAAACCCCACTACATACACATATATGGGGAGAATATAGGAGCCAGCAACAGGTTCTGGGTGGCAAAGATGGTTCATTCTGTCACTGTGATGATGGTATAGCTCATGGCCTCTCTCCCCAACTCCCAACAGTGACCAGAGCACCACCCCCACCTGAGCCCAGGGTTGAGGCAGAGCCCCAGCCCCAGCTCCAGCCCCAGCCCGAGCCCCAGCCCCAGCCCCAGCCAATCAAGGAGGAAGTTCCACCTCCTCCACCTAAGAAGATTTCTGTGGCTCGGAAGCTGACTGTCGGCATCAATGGGTGAGTTGTCCCTGGCCCCTGAGCCATTCCTGAAGCTTTAGGGCCCAGCCTCTCATCCATTACTGACTAGGTGCATCTCCACATTTCTCACCAGTGCTTTCACCCCGCGCATCTGAGAGAAACACAGGGAAAAGGTAGACAGGGCTCCACCCTCCACTCACATTCTGGTGGGAAGACAGCAGATAAGTAACATGATAGCTCGGTGATGAGCAATATGGAACTCAGGGGTACAGGCAGACCGGAGAGGGCAGTGCTAGCTGGGGAGTCAGGCAAGGCCTCTGGGAGGGGACACTGGAGTGAGGCCTGAGTGACAGCTGTGCAGCAAGCAATGGCTCTGGGGTGTAGGTGGCAGCTCAGTGTTCTAAGGACAGGCAGGAAGTCAGCATGGCTGGTGTGGCACAAGCAAGGCAGAAGCGGGGAGGGTGGTGGAGAGCTGGCAGGGCCCTGGTAGGCCACAGTAAGAGTCTGGATCTGATTTTACTGACAGAGAGCTGTGGAGGTTTTCAGGCCAAGAGATTTAATCTGACCTGAAGTTCTACACGACCCATCAAGCTACAAGGTCACGAATAGGGGTAGAGAATGGACAGTCAGAGGAAGCACAAAAAGCACTGACAAGGCTGGCAAGGTCACCTGGGCAGGACAACAGTGGCCCGTGCAGAGCTCGTTGCCTTCTTCCCTCAGACTGAGAAATCCCACCCAGTCCCCTTGAATGGGCCTCCTTTCCGTTACTCCCTTCTCTTCCGCCCTCCCCTCTGCCTGCTGGCTGAGAGTTCTGAGGACAACCCCCACAACCCTTGTCCCTGGACAGATTTGGACGCATTGGCCGCCTGGTGCTGCGTGCCTGCATGGAGAAGGGCGTTAAGGTGGTCGCAGTGAATGACCCATTCATTGACCCAGAATACATGGTAAGCAGCAGACAAAGGGTGGGATGGGGAAGAGTGGGACCTGGGTGGGGAACAGGTTCAGGGGAGCTCTGTGGAAGGCTCCCAGCTGCAATGCGGAACTTTCACCAAAGTGGGGACTACCTGGGGATGCTCAATTCCCCTCCACCCCCAAGACTAGGAGCCATTCTGTCTCCTGCAGGTGTACATGTTTAAGTATGACTCCACCCACGGCCAATACAAGGGGAGTGTGGAATACAGGAATGGACAGCTGGTCGTGGATAACAATGAGATCAGTGTCTTCCAGAGGTAAGGGTGCTGTCTGATGCAAGCCTGTAACGTACTGCCGCAGGGGATGTCAGGATGACCGGAATGGGATTCCAGCCTTTCACGTGGGCTTCATAACCCCCCAAATTGTGTGCACACACCTCTGGGTACTGGTTTGGAAAAGGGGCCTCAGAGAAGTTCCTGATCCCTAGAATTGTTAAGATGCACTAATCTAGAAAAATGCCCCAGTGTACTCAAAATGCTTTAACACACACGTGCATGTTTTCTCACAGGCATATCAACTCCACTTGTCTAAAATTCAACTCCTGATTATCTTTCAACCCTTAAATCTATTCACCTCCCTGCCCAGGAAACGGCACTGCTATCCAGCCAGCTCCTTCTACTCGGTTCCCATGGAGCAGCCACAGAGGCCTTTTAAAACATCAACTGGGTCTGGTTACTCCCCTGCTTAAATCCTCCAATGGCCTCCCACAAATAAACCCCAGCTGCTGACGGGCCCCCCCATGAACCACATGCCCCATTCCCCAGCCTTTCCAGGTCACCTCAGCCACACTGGCCATCACCCTCCTGGGACCCTGCACCAACACCTCTTTTTAGGACTCGCTCGACATTGTTCTCACTGAAAA